AAATAAAGAATATTAAAGTGGCTGAAAATTTCAAGAGTTGTTTATCCACTGGGAAGGTGTAAAAAGAATCATAAAAATGCAACCAGACATTGAAAAACTGCACTCGCTTCCTTAATTTTTGAAGATAATGTTTTGCCTTATTTTAAGAGCCTCAAAAGAAACCAACAAGAACAAATAACTCTGGACAGCTTTTTCAAGAGGCAGTAGTTGGAAGGTGCTTCTCCTTTCAACCAGTAACCTCCTCTCCACCACCACCACACCACCAACTTTTCCAAGTCCAAGGTACAGTAAAAGTTGCACTTCCGGGGTCTTGGAATAAATTACATACTATAAAACCATGCATTTTAAAAGACTGGATATTAGATTAGGAGGAGGGGGTATGGAGGAAATGAATGTGTTCAGATATTTGGGAATGGACTTGTTGGCAGATGGGTCTATGCAAGATGAGGTGAACCATAAAAATGATGAAGGGAAAAAGATGAGCAGTGCATTGAGGTATCTGTGGAAATAAAGAACATTATCTATGGAAGCAAAGAGGGAAATGAATGAGAGTATAGTGGTACTAACACTCTTATATGGGTATGAAGCAGGGGTTGTGAATGTTGCAGCGAGGAGGAGGTTGGAGATAGTGCAGACGTAGTGTCTGAGGGCAATGTGTAGCATAAATATTATGCAAAGAATTTGTAGTGTGGAAATTAGGAGATGGTGAGGAGTTACTAAAGGTATTATCCAGAAGGCTGAGGAGGGGTTGCTGAGGTGGTTTAGCATTTAGAGAGGCATTTAGTAGGGGTCATCCTAGGAGGGAGGGGGTAAAGGAGGTTTTGTGTGCAAAGGGCTTGGACATACAGCAGGCATGTGTATGTTAGATAGGAGTGGAGACAAATGGTTTTTGGAACCCAACAAGCTGTTGGAGTGTGAGTAGGGTAACATTTTATGAAGGAATTCAGCAAAACTGGATAGTCAGACTTGAGTCCTGAAGGTAGGAAGTACAATGCCTGCACTCTGAAGGAGGGGTTTGGGATATCTACTGTTTGGAGGGACACCTGAACTGTCATATCTGCACACCTCTGGCACAACAGTGGTGGTGTGAATGATGGTGAAAGTGCCTCTTTTATGGGTCTCCCTACCTCGGTGGGAGAGGGCCAGTGCATTGAAAAAAAAAAAAAAATATGAGGATTGTTACTGGAAAATGAACAAATTATAGAGGGTTCTATAGTACAGTATCTACTGCAAGGGGTCTTCTATATGCCTGTCATATATGTATAGGGATTAGTAGCTCTCACTATTTTTTTTATATACAGCATCCTATAGTAGTGATCCAAGGTACTGTTAATGGCAACAGCACATATCTATTGTGCTGACTTTGCATGAATTTCATTTCCTCGTCCTAAACCTTTTTTCCATATTATTAACCACTTTGGTAAGTAATGTTTGTCATCTGCACTGCTGCAATCCTTACTGCTTGATGCTATTTTGGATATTATGTTGAATGAGTTAAAATATAGAGCGTGCATTGAAGCGGGACGTAATTTAAAGCATGATGTCTTGTGCAAAACAACCAGTGAAAAAATAGTGAAATTCAAGCAATTTCATGATTTCTCACATTATCAAGGACCTTGTTTTACATATTGTGATATTGTCTGTTTATTATGATCTTACTGCATGATGTCTTATGTGAAGGCTGTAGAGTAAGTCTTACTTTCTAGCCAGTCACATGGGAGCAGTATGGTATAAACTCTCAAAGAATTCTTTCGACACAGTGCTACACAAGACTTGCGAGTACAAATAGATGAGTATTACAGTAGGCTGCGAGAGGTCGTTTAAATGGGATAAAGGTGATTGAAAGCGAATTTGTTTCTTTGTGTATTTTGTCAAATTTACGTTATGCGAACGGAAATGTGGGGCATTACTGCAAATGGTACTATATAAAAAGAGGCACCCTGCCTAGTTTGGAAAAGGCGCATGTGTTAAAAAAAAAAGACTTTGCAATCAACCATGTCATTTTTATACCTAAAATCGATAGTAAAGCCCTCTATAAGTCAGTCATGCACACAAGAACCCTCCATAAACTATCAGTTGAAGATAACCATTTCTCTCCACACATCTACATGTCATGCAACTAAGAGCAAGAGAGGGAAAATAGACACAAATGCAGTATAATGTGATCCTTTATTAACTGTTTTGCCCACACAGTGGACTTCATTAAGTCAAACATACGTATCTAGGGAGCATAGCAATGTCTATAGTCTGGTGGGAAATACTGAGCATTTCCCACCAGACTCTTCACAACACTATGCTCCCCATATATACGTACCCATGTACTCTCTGCTCAGGTAATCTTTTGTCTGCTGTGTGAGCAAACATGGTCAATATTACATATTACAATAATCATGAGGGAGCGCTAAACTCATAGGATTATACAGCACATGTGGGGGGGAGAGAATGGAAGGTATTTGGGGAACTGGAGCCAGATCCAATTCCTAAATCAAGATGCCCTCACAGCATCAAGGTACTCCTTGAGGGAACATAGTCAATAAAGGATCGCATTATATTCATTTGTGACTATTTTTCCATTGTGTCGGTATTTTATACCAATTATCTCCAAGAACAAGAGTCCTTAAATTTAGCTTCCTGATCAGATGAGAGAGAGAGAGAGAGAGAGAGAGGAGAGAGAGAGAGAAGCGAGAGAGGGGAGAGGGAGAGAGAGAAGAGAGAGAGAGATGAGTGAGAGAGAGGAGAGGAGAGAGAGAGAGAGATAGAGGAGAGAGAGAGGTAAAGGGAAGAGAGAGTGATGAGAGAGAGAGAGAGATTGTTCAGAGATGTGAGTTAGAGAGATTTAGGTTAGCGAGAGAGAAGAGAGAGAGTAGAGAGAGATGATAATAGAAGAGAGACACGCAGTGGAGAGAAAGGACGAGGTTAAAAAAAAAGACTTTGAAATCAACATGCATTTTAAGAGAAAATCGATAGAGAAGCCAAGAGAAGAGTATGCACAACAAGAGAGCCCATAAACTGAAGTAGTGAAGATAACATTTTCACACATAATGTATGCAATAAGAGCAAGAGAGGGAAAATAGAAAAATGCGAAAGAAGTAAGGACTTAATTAATGTAGCCACAAGTGGACATTCAATTAAGTAAACATACGGATAGGGAGCAAGGAATGTTAAGTAGTGGGGGAAATAGAGCATTTCCCCAGACTCTTCACAAACAAGGTCCCAATATACGTACATGAAGTTGCAGAGAGATCTGTTTGATACTGCTAGGATGAGCCGAAACATGGTCAAAGTATATATAAAAATCGAGGAGGAGCGCTGAGAAATAGGATTATAGAGCAGAGAGGGGGGGAGAGATGGAAGGTATTTGGGGAATGAGAGACAGATCCAATTCCCTAAATCAAGAGCCCAACCAGCATAGGACCTCCCTGAGGAGGAACATAGTCAAAAAGGATGAGTATATGCATGGACTATTTTTCCATTGTGTCGGTATTTTATACCAATTATCTCAAACAAGAGTCCTTAAATTTAGCTTCTGATAGTAACAGAGAGAGAGAGAGAGAGAGAGGAGAGAGAGAGAGAGAGACTGACTTCAGCCCACCAACACTATTACATCAACCTATAAATGGTATAACATGCAATGTTGGAAGTATCATATTGATGATATACAGTACCAACAAGTTGATGAGATACATATGCAATACCTGGGCAATAAAGGTACCCAAGTATTGTACATGTGTCTTATTCATCAATGTTGGTAGTTATCATATTATTGAAGATATACAGTACCAACAAGATGATGACTGAGACGTATATGCAACACTTGGGAAATACAGGTATGCAGGTGTTGCACATGTGTTTTATTCATCAGTGTTAGTAGCATTAGGAATACAAGTTAATGGAAACAGAGAAACCCACTTAGAGACCTAAAGGAAACAATTAAGAATAGGTTGTGAAGTTTTACCTCTCACTGCTGAAGACGGTCTCAATTAGACACTGAAATACTTTTTTTTTTTGACACACCGGCCATAAAAATACAAGTCTTTCTTTTTAAATTTAGTAATTTATACAGAAGGGCTTACTAGTCCCTTGGACTAGTAAGCCATGCATGCCATAAGAGGAAACTAAAATGCCAGGAGCAAGGGGCTAGTAACCCCTTCTCCTGTATAAATTACTAAATTTTAAGAGAAACTTTCGGTTTTCTTTTTAGGACACTCTGCCTCAGTTGGATAAAGCCGATTCATTGAAAAAAAAATTCTTCACATCTCCCAATGGGTTTCTCCACTATCATACTATACGTCATCGACTTTAAGCACACGCCTAAATTCTGAATGTAAAATAATTTTGAATAGAACTACTGCAAAATTATTTAAAATACAGATATGATGAACTTTTTCTGTAAAATTTTTTTTTGGTCAAGTGAAGGACTGAATATTTTTCTTTGTCTTCGACTCAGAATTTAACTATAATTCTCAAAAATATAGAAAATAACATTTAGAGCATTTTCCCTTATTCATAATAAATGAGAAAATTATGAATGTTATAATGGGCAATTTCTTTATAATAGAACTTTTTCTGAATTCCAAAACTCTGAATACAAAATATTTTCTATAGAATTTTTCAAAGTAAAAATTTTGAATTTTAATTTAGAAAATATTTAAACCAATTTTAATGAACAAGAAACAATGGCTTCCAAATAAAAGAAATTAAAAATACTGCAACATATTCTCTATTCAGAAAATTTGAAAAGAAACAATTCCTAACATGAATAAAGAAAAATATATAATGTCCATATTCTCCCAGAATAAATTAAATTCCACTTTCTATTAAGAGGAATTTTCTATAACTCAAACACAAATTAACCCAAGTGCCACAAGTACTGGAAACTTCAATAATTATATAACACATTAACCACCAATGCTATAACATAACCTGCTCCTTTAACTACAAATTTGTATTCACATAGGTAATTACACATATCCATGCGTGGAAAACAAGCGTATACATACCGGTGGAGGAAAAGCCATAGGGGGGAGATTGCTGGGAGCACGGGAGTGAAAGTCCCGCATCTCTCGCATGAAATCTTGGTAGGTCTGCAATGAAGATTCCAGACACTGTTTATAAAAAGATAATGGGTGTGTCAAGAATGCAGACTAGTCCCCTCCCCCCTCCCCCCTCCCCAAAAAATGAATATAGATAAATATACAAATGAAAAAACAAGAGCAGAAATACTGCTATGGATCATTGTGCCAGTGAAAAATTGAGGACGAGATCAGTGATCTTGTACACAATTGCCAGTGAAAAACTGAGTAGGAGAGCACTTTGCCAGTGGAAAATTGAGTATGAGATCTTTGTGCCAGTGAAAAATTAAGTACGAGAGTACTTAAAAGGAACATGCTGTGCTCCTGGTGACGTAACTTACATTTACCTCTTTTTTAGTCAAGCATTGAAAGTTCAGGTGGATCAGAGGCGGTGAAATTCTATTATCCCTCTCACCTACTCAACTGTAAAAATCTAATGAAAAATTTGATGACGAAACATTTTACTGTGCAAATAACCACAACAATGTTTTAATGTGAAAACAAGCATCTTTTCACTTCTCTAAAGCATCAGATTTTGAACCTTGTATGCTCGGCAGTTCATGACCAATTTTCACAGAAAACAAAAGTACAAATGTGTATGAGGCTGATTTAAATACACAATGTTCTTTAAAAGAAATACTCTGACATGAAGTATCATTGCACTTAAATGATGAAACAGAAAATTAAGGTTTCAGAATCTCCACGACTACGGTGCTCTTTGCACCTACTGCTAGGTTGAGGGACTGATTACCTCATCTTCTGTACATAGTTCTCCTGTCTTCAAGTTATGTCCTGGAATTTGTATTGATAAAGCCACTGGATGGCGAAACGTCTACAATAAAGATACCCAGATGTTGAACGTGTCTCAATTTCATCAGAAAATAAAGCGTTACAATAATGCATACATTCCCCAGGAAATGCATCTTTTTTCTTTGACCACTCTATTTAACGGTCATTTTATTAACTTTTTCACACATCTAGGCTTAGGACTTAGAACCTGGGTTATAGGAAGTACAGAGCCTGAACCCTGAAGATAAAGTGAAGATGCTGCGGGAAAGAGTGCGAGTTGAAATACAATGTCCACACTCTTCTGGTAAGACAGCTATTGAATGAACAAATATGAATAAGTTCCATTCTTTGGCTCATTCTTTCTTGATGGGAAAAAGCATATAACAAAAAATAAAAATGGCTGCCCTGCTAGAGATATCTAAATAATGAAAATAAGATGATCAGTCATCAAGGTTACATAAATTCCTAAATATTATTTTACTTAAAAATTTAAATTTACCTACTATACTTAAAACAATATAGGTAGTAGGTTGGTAGACAGCAACCACCCAGGGAGGTACTACCGTCCTGCCAAGTGAGTGTAAAACGAAGCCTGTGACTGTTTTACATGATGGTAGGATTGCTGATGTCTTTTGTCTGTCTCATAAATATGCAAGATTACAGGCATGTCTTGCTACTTCTACTTACACTTAGGTCACACTACACATACATGTACACATTTATTTATACACACTCATCTGAGTTTTCTTTGATTTTATCTTAATAGTTCTTGGTCTTATTAATTTTCCTTTTATATCCATGGGGAAGTGGAATAAGAATCTTTCCTCCGTAAGCCATGCGTGTTGTAAAAGTCAACTAAAATGCCGGGAACAATGGGCTTAGAAACCCCCTTTTTCCTGTAAAGATTACTAAAAAGAATAAGAAGAAGAAAATTGTCAAGTGGGAAGTCTAAATTTGTGGTGGATGTTGTGCAGATGATAAGAAAGAGATGATTGTGGATGTTATGAATGAGAAGAAGCTGGATGTCCTGGCTTTAAGTGAAACAAAGCTGAAGGGGGTGGGAGAGTTTCAGTGGAGAGGAAAAAAAGGGATTAGGTCAGGGTTTCAAATAGAGTTAGAGCTAAAGAAGGAGTAGCAATAATGTTAAAGGAAAAGGGCTATGGCAGGAAAAGAGGGACTATAAATGTATTAATTCAAGGATTATGTGGAGTAAAAAAAAGATTGGATGTGAAAAGTGGGTTATAATAAGCGTGTATGCACCTGGAGAAGAGAGAAGTGTAGAGGAGAGGAGAGGGGATTTTGGGAAATGTTGAGTGAATGCGTGGGGGTTTTTGAATCAAGTGTGGAGAGTAATGGTGGTTGGGGATTTTAATGCTAAAGTGGGTAAAAATGTTATGGAGGGAGTGTAGGTAAAAATTTGGGGTGCCAGGGGTTTAAATGAAAATGGGGAGCCTTAATTGAGCTATGTGTAGAAAGAAATTTGGTAAAAAGTAATACATATTTTATGAAAAAGAGGATAAATAAATAACAAGGTATGATGTGCACGTAATGAAAGTAGTTTATTAGTTTTATGTATTTGGTGGATAAAGGTTGAGGGTAGGCTCCAGGATGTACATGTTTATAGAGGGGCAACTGATATATCGGATCATTATTTAGTTGTAGCTACAGTTAGAGTAAGAGAGTAGATGGGAAAAGAGGAAGGTGGGCAACAACAAGTAAGAGGGAGGTGAAAGTGTATAAACTAAGGGGGAGGAAGTTCGGGTGAGATATAAGCGACTACTGGCAGAAAGGTGGGCTAGTGCAAAGAGGGAGTAGTGGGGGGGTTTTGAAGAGGTTGGAATAGTTTTAAAAAATGCAGTATTAGAATGTGGGGCAGAAGTTTGTGGTTATAGGAGGGTGGGGGCAGGAGGAAAGAGGAGTGATTGGTGGAATGATGAAGTAAAGGGTGTGATAAAAAGAGAAAAAGGTAGCTTATGAGAGGTTTTTACAAAGCAGAAGTGTTATAAGAAGAGCAGAGTATATGGAGAGTTTAAAAAAAAGGTAAAGAGAGTGGTGAGAGAGTGCAAAAGGAGAGCAGATGATAGAGTGGGAGAGGCACTGTCAAGAAATTTTTAATTTAAAATAAGAAAAAATTTTGGAGTGAGTTAAAAAAGTTAAGAAAGCCTAGGGAAAAATTGGATTTGTCAGTTAAAAAACAGAGTAGGGGAGTTAGTAGATGGGGAGATGGAGGTATTGGGTAGATGGCAGAATATTTTGAGGAACTTTTAAATGTTAAGGAAGAAACAGAGGCAGTAATTTCATGCACTGGTCAGGGAGGTATACCATCTTTTAGGAGTGAAGAAGAGCAGAATGTAAGTGTGAGGGAGGTACGTGAGGCATTACGTAAAATGAAAGGGGGTAAAGCAGCTTGGAACTGATGGGATCATGACAGAAATGTTAAAAGCAGGGGGGGAATAGTGTTGGAGTGGTTGGTAAATTTTGTTTAATAAATGTATGAAAGAGGGGAAGGTACCTAGGGATTGGCAGAGAGCATGTATAGTCCCTTTATATAAAGGGAAAGGGGACAAAAGAGACTGTTAAAAAATTATAGAGGAAAAGCTTACTGAGTATACCAGGAAAAGTGTTTCGGTAGGGTTATAATTGAAAGAATTAGAGGTAAAACAGAATGTAGGATTGCGGATGAGCAAGGAGGTTTTAGAGTGGGTAGGGGATGTGTAGATAAAGGTGTTTACATTGAAGCATATATGTGAACAGTATTTAGGGTAAAGATAGGGAAGTTTTTATTGCATTTATGGATTTGAAAAGGCATATGTAGAGTGGATAGGGAGCAATGTGGCAAGATGTTGCAAGTATATGGAATAGGTGGTAAGTTATTAAATGCTGTAAAGAGTTTTTATGAGGATAGTGAGGCTCAGGTTGGGTGTGTAGAAGAGAGGGAGACTACTTCCCGGTAAAAATAGGTCTTAGACAGGGGTGTGTAATGTCACCATGGTTGTTTAATATATTTTTAGTGGGGTTGTAAAGGAAGTAAATGCTAGGGTGTTTGGGAGAGGGGTGGGATTAAATTATGGGGAATCAAATTCAAAATGGGAATTGACACAGTTACTTTTTGCTGATGATACTGTGCTTATGGGAGATTCTAAAGAAAAATTGCAAAGGTTAGTGGAGAGTTTGGGAATGTGTGTAAAGGTAGAAAGTTGAAAGTGAACATAGAAAGAGTTTAAAGGGGATGAGGGTGTCAAAAGATTTAGATAAAGAAAAATTGGATATCAAATTGGGGAGGAGGAGTATGGAAGAAGTGAATGTTTTCAGATACTTGGGAGTTTACGTGTCGGCGGATGGATTTATGAAGGATGAGGTTAATCATAAGAATTGATGAGGGGAAAAAAGGGAGTGTGCGTTGAGGTATATGTGGAGTCAAAAAAAAAGTTATCTATGGAGGCAAAGAAAGGGGAAAGTATGAAAGTATAGTAGTACCAACACTCTTATATGGGTGTGAAGCTTGGGTGGTAAATGCAGCAGCGAGGAGATGGTTGGAGGCAGCAGAGATGTCCCGTTTAAGGGCAATGTTTTGGTGTAAATATTATGAGAAAATTCGGAGTGTGGAAATTAGGAGAAGGGTGTGGAGTTAATAAAAGTATTTGTCAGAGGGCAGAAGAGGGGTTGTTGAGGTGGTTTGGTCATTTAGAGAGAATGGATCACAGTAGAATGACATGGAAAGCATATAAAAACTATAGGGAAGGAAGGCGGGGGAGGGGGCGTCCTCGAAAGGGTTGGAGAGAGGGGTAAAGGAGGTTTTGTGGGTTTAAGGGCTTGGACTTCCAGCAAGCGTGCGTGAGCGTGTTAGATAGGAGTGAATGGAGACGAATGGTACTTGGGACCTGACGATCTGTTTGAGTTGAGCAGGGAAAATATTTTGTGAAGGGGTTCGGGGGAAACCCGGTTTTTTTAATAGTCACTTGAGTCCGGAAATGGGAATACAATGCCTGCACTTAAAGGAGGGGTTTGGGGTATTTGGGAGTTTTGGAGGGGTATGTTTGTATCTTTTTTATGTTTAGCTTTTTAGGCTGTTGTATTCTGAGCACCTCTGCAAAAACAGTGATAATGTGCGAGTGTGGTGAAAGTGTTGAATGATGATGAAAGTATTTTCTTTTTGGGGATTTTCTTTCTTTTTTGGGTCACCCTGCCTCGGTGGGAGACGGCCGACTTGTTGAAAAAAAAAAAAAAAAAAAAACTTAAAACAAACTGTAGAAAACACTGCAGTGGATCAAAAACTAAAATTGAAAAACTTTGATATTATAACAACTGTTGAATCAAAAGAACATGGACAGAAAAATATTATTTAGCAAAACATTCAGTCCAAAACTGGGTCGGAGTCAATCCCCGGTCCGGGTAGAAAAATTAGGAGTGTTTCCTTAAACACCTGTGTCTATGTTCACCCCTCAGTAAAACATACCTGGGGGTTAGTGGGCAGGGGTTGGGGTTCATCCTGGGGGCAAAAATGAGCAAAATTTTCCCAAAAAAATCCTACATAAGGGGTTGAATAGCTGTATGTCACTGAGTCAGTAGGTCTATATACCTTGTACATGTACTTGTAGAAATAAAATTATTTTTTTATTTGTTGTGTTCGGGTTTTTCCATGAATAAAACAAATAGTTAAATTAGGAGAGTCAGACCACAAATCTTTTTATCATAAAAAAACCCTTTGGTGATGTTGCATTTTTTTTATCTTCAGAAAAATATGCACAAAATTTACAATCAGGATAGCCCTAAAAAAATTCATCTGAAGCCCAAATTTTATGCACAATGTCAATAAACAGCTGCTCAAAACTTAGTGGTTATTTTCACTTTTTAAAGATTCCGTTTTTGGTTGTTGATTTTTAAGAGGAGCCTTCCGGCGTGGTCCTGCGATCACAGGTGATCTTTCCCGCATCCTCACGATTATACGTTGCTGAAACAGCGTGTTTTAAAACAGCGTACAGTTTTTTTTTTTTTAAGTGCTGGCCATCTCTCACCCAGGCTGATGGCCATAAAAGAAACACTTTCACCATTTTTCAACAATCACTGTCTTTGCAAGGGGGGCCAGTATGACTTTTTGATGTCACTCCAAAAGCCAAAATCCCCAAAATTTCCTTTTAAGTGAAAAACGTACTTCCCCCCTCCAATTATAACAGGCATACCTTGTAATATGCGGCTAAAATTCCAGACCGCCCCCATAAAGCAAACCACAGCCTTTTCTTACATTTTCAGTGCAAATTTTAAAACCCAAAAAAATGTTTATATTTTCATTTATTAAGTGCACAAAACATAGGCCTAAAAAAAATACAAAAGTCAAAATAAAAAAAAAATTTTAAAAAATTCCGGAAAAACCCTCTTAGAGTAAGGCAAATGCCCAAAAAAAAAAAACTGAAAATTTAAATGAAAATCACCGTATTAATGAGGTTCTGTACAGTAATACATAATACCAATTGATCATTGATAAATTAAATTAAGGACTAATGAATTTACATCAAAAATAAAGAAGTTTAAAAATGTATTATTACACCCGCAAGAAATGTTGGGGCAATTATCTTACTGCTTTACCATATAGAGTACAGAACCCGTTCCAGGACCTCTTTGTCGTACATACTAGAGAAACAGAGTGATGGGGGAAAACTATGACGTCATTACACATCGATAAAAAAACCATCCCGTAAGTCCTTGACTTTCGAAAAATTTTAGAATCTCCGTTTGTGTAAAAATAAAACGAAGTAACATTCAAGAATTCTTTCCTTTTTTAACTTGTGAGCTCATTACCTTTGTACTGTTCAGCTATCAAAACTTTGGGGGCCAGTCCCTGGACCCATTACGTACCCCTGTAATCTGTAAATATTTGTAAATTTCTGATTTTGACAACCCCACCTGGAGTTTTTACCTTTGTAAAATTTTTGAGTTCATTCCTTTGTAAATTGTGAGTTCAAAATTACTCTGTAACTTGTCAGCTATAAAACTTTGGAGTCCGTCCTGGACAATTATGTACCTCTGTAATCTTTCTACCCCCCACAGGGTGGGGATGGGGGCATAAAAAACATATTAAAAATAATTAACTAACTTGTGTATAAATTCATAATACAGGAAGTCTTCAAAATTACAAAAAAGTTGGGGACCCTTTTGTCTGTGTATAATAATGATATTAAATGTACAGTACATGAGATTTCAATGAGTTCGTAAATAAGGGTTTACTGTACAATAAACCTTCTTTTTAACAGGGAATACCTCGACAAAGGATGAGGTTTGGTGATTGTGATGAGTGGGGATCAAAATTTTTTTTTGCTGTTTTTAAAAAAAAATTTTTTAAACAATGGACAGAGTGTTCATAACAGTAACAAAATTCCATAACCATTCAACTTTAAAAGTTGTTTCTGAATTAACTGGGCCAGCAAGTTTAGTCCCATATTTACAGAATCAATCCAAACAAGGTCCACTTCACCGACATATATGTAGAAATGGTAACTGTTTAATCTTGTGCCCGTACAGCAGGTTTTGTCTAGTGAAGCTGAATTGCCACCACCACCTATGTACCTGACCTCTCCTGGCTCCTGAATCTTCCTTGTTCCTGACTGTATAGCTTTGTCTAGCAAAGCTAAACTACTGCTACAACTGTACCTGACCTCTCCTGGCACCTGAACCCTTTCCCTTTTTCCGTGTATAGCTTTTTTTAGAAAGCTAAATACCCTAAAAACTGTCCTGCCTCTCCTGGCACTGAACCTTCTTGTTCCTACCTAAAAGATTTTCAAAATTTTCATTTGTATTTTACTTATATTTTGCTGTGACTTTAAATAGTTTTCGGGTTCTTCACCCACAGTAGGTCAAAAACCAAAAAACAACACCATAAGTAAAACAAGAATTTAAATAAAAGTAGGGCCCCAAAATTTGCCTGAAGGGGGTTCATGTCCCTTTAAAAAAATTTCTACATGTCCCCATCAAGGGATGTCCCTTTGATAAAATTTTTTTTTTGATACCGAATTGGACACTTCCACCTTTAAAATTGAACTGAACTGCTTCCACTTTTGATTTTCCCGAATTTCACCAACAGGTTTAGTGCTCTTCCCATAATAAATGATAATTATAATAATAAAACATTAAATAATAATAATATAAAACATTAATATAAAATACTGAATAATAAAAATAATCACTGCAAATCAATACTAAGCAGCAGAAAATAATATTAAAAATAATAATAATCACTATATTTCAATACTAAGCTGCTGAAAATAGGGAATATTCTATAGGAATATTTAATTAATGAGAGCTTCGAATGTGTCGTCACCGACCTGGTTTTTCAGTTCTGCCTCGGAAGTTTGGCGGCCCTCTCAATCGTTTGACTCGGGGACCATAATCCTCACCCTCGTACCGTCGCCGTCGACCACCACCACGACTGTTAAAAGAAGAACTTCTTTATTAATGAGATTTAAATACTTTGTTGAATACATGTTTTTGTATAAAATATAATTATAATATAGAGAGAAAGGGAAAGAAGAAAGGAGGGAGGGAGAAAGAGCAAAAGAGATAGGGAGAATGGGAAAGACAAAGAAGGATATACAGTGGACCCCCGCATAACGATCAGCTCCCAATGCGACCAATTATGTAAGTGTATTTATGTAAGTGCGTTTGTACGTGTATGTTTGGGGGTCTGAAATGGACTAATCTAATTCACAATATTCCTTATGGGAACAAATTCGGTCAGTACTGGCACCTGAACATACTTCTGGAATGAAAAAATATCGTTAACCGGGGGTCCACTGTATACGTGTGTGTGTGTGTGTGTGTATAGTATATATATAGAGAGAGAGAGATAGAGAGATAGAGAGAGAGAAATAGTATTTGAGAATACCTGCAGTAATTTAAACTATACAACAGATCATTAATTAGCAGAAGATCGGTTCATTGGCATCAAACATTATTTGGCAATCTTGCTCGACTATAGAAAAAACGTAAATGGATGATGTTGCTGAAAATTGAACACAACCTCTCCCCTGAAGGAACCAGAAAATCAATGGCATGTACGAAGAGGATTTAATAAAAAAAAGCAAGTTTATTACCTATTTTCAAGAAAAAAATTCAACATATCTGATGGTAGGTAAAAACTGTAGTAGTAACGTAAGGAAAAAACAAAATAAGACAAGTTTGTTTTCACATCTTAGGCACAGAGAGAATATAAGTAATTATAGAATATCTTGGTATTAAAAATAAATAAGAAAAAGGTGTAATGAATGAATGGTAATTTATGAAGTGTAATGCATGATAATGAGGTAAAAATGTGAACTAACAAAATATGTGGCAAAGAAAAAGATAAGTATTGTGTTTGAGTAACATTAAGTTAACACTGTGTATAGGATAAGAAATAAGAAAATTAAAGGGAACCCAAGAGTTGGGACACAGACTGAGAATGTAGAATGAAACAACACAATGAGTCTATCAAGAAAAAATGCAAAATATATACAAATTATCAAGTGCAACAAGATCACAGTAAACAGGCGACATCACAATATGCATGATTTCTCACATTATCAAGGACATATCCTTGATCACGTGAGAAATCACAAAAGCGCTTGGATGTTCGTTATTTTTTCACAGTGGTTGTTTTGCAAACTATGAAGTATTGTAGTACAGTGGACACCCGCTTAACGATCACCTCCAATGCGACCAATTATGTAAGTTGTATTTATGTAAGTGCGTTTGTATGTGTATGTTTGGGGGTCTGAAATTGACTAATCTACTTCACAATATTCCTTATGGGAACAAATTCGGTCAGTAACTGGCACCTGAACATACTTCTGGAATGAAAAAATATTCGTTAACCGGGGGTCCACTGTATAAACTTTTCAGATGTAAAGGTAATACAGGGTCTAGCAATACAAGACATAAGAGCAAGATGCTGAGAGGATCAGTGAAAGACACAGAAGAACAAGCCATCAAGGAGACAATGTTTTTGCTCTGTATAGAGCTTTATCAAGACTTGACAAAGTTATACACAGAGCAAAATGCTCACAATATAAACTTGCCCATGTATATGGTACACAGGTAAGTTACTCCAACTTATATATATTCTGTAAAGAGTAAAAAAAAAATTTGTAACTGGTTTCGAACAGGGACTAAGATTCCAATAACATGTACTATACATATTTAAAATACAAAGAACACTTATAAAAATTTCTCAATTCATTTTCTATATGCAATACAATGAGACTAAAAAAAAAAATCACCTACCTCACTCACTCTTTAGAAAAGATTTGTTTAGAAAGTATTTAGTTAGTTAATATGACTTGTGCCATAAAGTTATTGTAGCAGTGCTGGGAGATTATTAAGGTTTTCCTTAACACTAAGTTATAACTAAAGTGATAATGCTGGTGTTAAGTGAAACATTTCCCTCATCACTATAATAATGATGAATATGTTACAATATCATGGGCTGAATAATTCACTATCAACTCACAATCTAGAGAGGCAACCTCAAATGACACCCGAAATGCCCCGGCATGATGGTGGTTTTCTTTGTACTTAACAAGTCAAAATTGTAATCACACATTATAAATATTGCAAAGAAATCAAATCTTTATCTTTCCTCTATGTTATGGACCACTGCAAGCAGGTTGCCAACAGCCTAGTTAACCAGACAAGCACAAAATGAGCCTGGCCTTGGGCCAGGCTCCTGGAGGTTTACCTTTGATAAACCAGAGGTTTATCAAAGGCAGTCTTACTGGCTGCAAGATCAGCAAATAGAAGATTTATCCTCCACCACTCCTTGCGCTGAATGACCCATATGCGTTTAGTGCTTCACATTAACATTTCAAGTCACAGCTGCTATACAGGTGATGCTCAACTTAAAATATTTAGACTTTATGATGGTGCAAAAGCAACTGAACTTTGGAGATGAAATTTGAGATAATTACCCAGCATGAAGGCGGCAAGTCCATAATTTGTATTCATTTACTTTTCAATACTGGTATTTACAAACAGTAATTATTTTTTTATTTACTTATTCAGTGTCAATTGTTATTTATTTACTTATTTAGCATGTGATATTCATATTCGACTTAAGATATTTTCGACCTGTGATGAACTTGTCTGAACGTAATCTCATGATAAGTTGAGGAGCACCTACATGTGACCTGATGTAATGGTCGAGAATCAAAATATCAGCTAAAGTTTCCTCTCTAAATTGTGAGTTAACTGTGAACCAAACCATGATAAAATCAAATATACTATCCCTCCACCTATGTGTAACAAGTTGTCTAACAAACTCCATACTTGCCAGAGGATGCAAACTGGTTTGATAGCACTTTTTAAAGAGGCTCCATCCTGCCACCTCCAATTTCCACCACAAAAGCCTGATATGGGAGGGTATAGGGGTCGTGGGATCTGAGGAGCACTGGAACCTGTAAGTTATTCTCTGCTCTGTGCACACCAGCCTTGAACCTAACCTGCTGCATAAGCAGGGCCCTCATTTACTAAGTTTATTTTCTATCAATTTAAGAACAGTAGAAATTCTGTGTCAATTTTGAATAGCACAACATAAACATCAAATGGCTTATCAAATTACAAAATGCGTAGGGTTCAAATCCATGGCAATAGTAGTAAAACTTAAAAGCCAGTGTGCTTACTACTGGTTAGCACACATAAGAATATGAAAAAGAAGCACTGCAGCAGGCATACTGACCCATGCTAGACAGGTCCAAGTTACCTAGTGGCCTAAGCCACTTCTACGGGCCCGTGAATTTTAGGTCTTGTCAGCCATGGGTTCAAGCCCCACCCGACCTGCGATTTGTTTGATACTGTGTTATTACGATTTTGTGAGTGATCTAATAGCTAGCCATAAATTTTTGGATAAACAGCTAAGAGACAGGTCAAGAAGGCTAGTAATCAATATTTTTTTTTATAAATAGTACCTAAGAGACAGGTCAAAAAGGCTAGTAATTTATATTTTCACCAATTACACATTGTTGTGCATTTAAGTCACTTATTAACCCAAGGTGTATTAATACAATTGATGAATGAGTTGGTGATTGATAATAAAATGTGATAAGTAATTACAGAAGAAAGCAAAGGCAGGATACTGCGGCACTACCAAGAGAAGTGCATTCCGTTGTTTCTGCGACTGATTCATTAGTGATTACTCTTTCGGCAACCCACCACCACAATTGCCGGAAAACCCCCAATGACATCATGAACTTCAACCTCGCATCCTGTGGTGTGAGATCATGTTACAAAGCTGTACAAATCAAGCTACTTTGTTTCCTACCTCTTCAATGACTGGTTCAATAAAGTCACTATTATGTATGTATTTCCAGCACTTACCTCCAGAACTACAATTGGGGACAACCTAGGATAGTAGAGCCCCCATATCCATGGATTTGGTTTCTGCGGTAACATTCTGGTGGTCAATCCCATAGCCCCTTAGGTTAGGGGTTCCTAGCTGCGGGTATCCATACCCCTTGGGGCTATGGGAACCAAATACAGTGGACCCTCACCTAACGATATTAATTGGTACCCGAGAACGAACATTGTTAGGCGAGTTTTTTAGCGTTAGCCGAGGCAAAATGTTAGCGTTAAAATGTATCGTCAGGCGAATTTAACGTTATGTGATGCTTTCGTTAGGCGAGGGTCCACTGCAATGGGGCAATGGGAGCCAAATAATGGGGGTATGGGACTCAATCTTTGAACAATTTAACCCTTTGACTGTTTCAGGTCCCTCTCTGAAACTGTCATTCTATGTCGCCAAATATTCAAAAAAAAAAAAAATTATTTTTTCTTATGAAAATGTTAAGATTATTTTTCTGAGTGTTTTAGTCCAAAAAAAAAATTTTTGCCATCGGTACTTACCGAGATATAGAGCCATGAAGTTTGCAGAAAATGAGCCGCTTATGGCAACAGCGGCGACTGCCGCTCACCCGGTAAACTTTAGTTTACTTGTAATTGAAGGTTTTTTGTTTTTTTCACTATTTTTATTTTTTCACATAACTTATGTGGCCTATGAGACCAAAGTAAGGTGAAATTTGTATATATATACACTCGTTGTAATACAACACAACAAGCACACAAACATAATTATCAATATATTGTTTACAAACTTGTTTACAAAAACAAACAAACAATTCTCTTCTTTCTTCCTCTTCCTCTCCTTTCCTCTTCCTCTTCCTCTTTCCCCCTCCTCTTCCTCCTCCTCTTCCTCCTCCTCTTCCTCCCCCTCTTCCTCCTCCTCTTCCTCCTCCTCTTCCTCCTCCTCTTCCTCCTCCTCTTCCTCCTCTTCCTCCTCTTTCCTCCTCCTCTTCCTCCTCCTCTTCCCCTCCCCCTTCCTCCTCCTCTTCTTCTTCCCCCTCCTCTCTTCTTCCTCCTCTTCTTCTTCTTCTCCTCTTCTTCTTCTTCCTCCTCCTCCTCCTCCTTGTGGCGAGT